TTTTTGGCTATGCATCAGAATTGCAAGTAATGCATCAGAGACATTCTTCTCGACATGCATGACATCAATGTTGTGCCGCACAGGCAGATCCTGCCACATATAGTATAAACAACTTTCAGAAATATAATTAAGCATCTTAAGCTACCAACAAGAAAAATGATTATAAAGAGTACTAACATTCCAGTACGGTAATTAAAAAAATATAGACCTTTTTTCCATCGCCATAGGTCATTGTCGTCTTCATATTCTTCTGTTGATATCACATCATCTTCGTCGACATCGTTTCTATTTCTCTTACCTTTCTTCTTATCCAAAGGTCTTCCAAAATCATTCCTAAAATCCTTAAGGCTCTCAAATATGTCTGTTCCACTCTGAATTCTTTTCGCAGACCCAGATTCTATGGTATTGTCGAACCACCCCTTTCTACGTCGGTATGGATGACCAGGCCTTAGTCGCTTCCTGTTGCCCATATATACATGCTTCCGACTGAACTTTAACCACCTGTATGGTGTATCCTTTCCACATACATTACAAGCTTGTTTCCCCTTGACCTTACATCCAGCTAATGTCCCTAACGCAGGATAGTCGCTGATGCTCCACAGCAACATGGCTCTAAGAGTGAAACTCTCCTTCTTAAAGGTATCATAAACTTCTATACCTTAAATCCACAAATCTTTCAAATCATCTATCAGCGGCTACTTATGTAAGTAGACATCAATGTTGTTGCTAGGTGCGGTTGGTCCAGGGATCAACAGTGTCAGCATGATATTCTCTGCTCTCGTACAGTCAGTTGGTGCCATGTTGTAGTTGACCAAGAGCACCGGCCATGTGCTATACTTTGTATTCTGGATCGAAAAGGGATTCATGCCAGCTGTAGAAATCCCTAGTCTAAGGTTTCTAGCATCAGCAGCAAACTCCGGCCATTTCTCGTTGACCTGAAACCAAGTCAAGGAGTCAACTGGATGCCACATAGTACCATCTTCACTACCATTACTGTAGTGCCAACACAAAGCCTCAGCTACCCGTTTTGATCTAAACATCCTCCTAAGTCTTTCTTTAATCGGAAAATATCTGAGCACTTTCGCTGGAATCCCTTGCTTCTCCTCACATGTGTGTTTATCCTTTTCCCACCTTGATTCACTACATCTTGGACAGCTCACCAACTCCTCATACTGATTCCGATAAAGAATGCAGTCATTCTTGCAGGCGTGAATCACATTATAGTCGAACCCAAACATCTTCAAAAAATTCTTCATCTCATCAGTAGACTTAGGTAGAACATTGTCGAGTGGCAACATATCGTGAACTAGCGTCAGAAGCTGGTCAAAGTAGTTCTCTGACATCCCACTCTTGACTTTTATTCGGTATAGTGCCATGATTGCTTGAACTTTGGTATAGTTCATACACGTCGAGTACAAGGGAGTTTCTGCATCCTCTAACTTCTTCTTGAACTCAGTATCTGCGTCAGTATCTTCGAACTGATCTACATTCTGCTGCTGAGATGGTTTCTTGCTTTCACTTGCCATAAAAGCAGTCCTAATCAGATCATACGCCTCATACTCAGACGCATCAACATCATTCATCTTCTCATTCCTTTTATCCCCGTGATTGCTCCAACATTGACTTCTCTTGTACTTCTGATCCATCCCTCGTATCACTAGATGCTCCAACACAGTCTGAGTTGATTGGTGGCAAACATTTCAGCAATCAACGCAAGGACAGAATATCTCCGAAGGATAACCTAATCTTTTTGCTGAATCAGAGAGAAACTTAGTTGCTCCTTCCTCATATTCAAGGCTATTCCTATCAAATTGAAATATAAATGAATTCGGAAATACAATGATCTAAACCCTATACGGAAAATGAAATCAAGAAAAATGTGAAAAGCAGTCGAATTAATACCTTGGCAACCAAACCCAAGCTTTCATGTTTACAACAGCTCTGACCAAATTGTGTATATAAAAAACCCAAATACAGTAAGGTTTAGGCGAGAACGACACTATAATCTTGTCAGAAATCAAATAGATTTGGGATACCTGATTGTGTTTGTTCTTCCTCGCCAAAAGAAATCTTCCTGCATATCGACATGCGAAGCTGAGTTCAAAATGCAAGAAGACAGGCAACATAAAAGAGAACTTAAAAGGGAACTCGATTTCACCTTCGCTAAATGTAAACTCGATTTCACCTTCGCTAAATGAGATCCGCAGAAGATTTGTTTAGGAACGAATCCGGAGAGTCTGGGATTTCACAGTCGCGGGTTTGGAAAGGGTTTTTTGGTATGCTCAGAAATCGAGCAAATAAGACTCTTCGATATAGAGATTCTGGGTACAATGAGAAATAAATGGAGAATGAAAATTTGAGATTTAGAGTTATAGGAAGTACGAAATGGAGATGTTTAGTCTGGGAGAGTGTCGAATTAGGGTAAGAACACTGAAAATGGTGATGAAGTTCTTTAGATCTGAAAATTGGGGATTTTACGATATTAGAGAGCCAAAAAAAATTGTGGAGGCTAAATTTTCTAAGTGTCGCGGGTCTTTAGAAAAATTTGACCGCCTAAACATATTATAACGTTTTCAAAAATTATCTGCTATTAGAGAGAACATTCAACATTATAAAACCCACGAAATTTTTAGTTTTTCAATTTAATAATATATCATAGCGTCTTCAAATATCCAAACGCTATATTAAAGATGTAGGTATACTAATAGTAGCATAATGAACAAAAACGCTATCTTCTAATGCTATTAATAGCCTATATTCTTGTAGTGGTGGCAATACCGAAATCTCCAAGTTTCCCATTCAGATTTTCATCTAAAAGAACATTGCTCCCTTTGATATCTCTGTGAAGTATAACTTGAACCCAGCCTTCATGAAGGTAATGAAGGGCAGAGGCTACTCCCTTCACTATATGTACTCTCTGAGACCAACTCAGGCTGTTACCATGTAACAAGTAACCAGAAACACTACCATTTTTCATATACACGTAGACTAACAGAAACTTTCCTTTGATCCTACAATACCCTAGAACTGAACTATGTTCCTATGTCCAAGCCTCCCCAACGTGGCTATCTCAGCAACATACTCTTTCATTCAATGTCGTGTCCCTCTGGATATTCTCTTCACTGCTATTTTGAGTGCCATCAGGTAAGTCTCCTCAGTAAACCTTCCTGAAACCTCTTACTCCTAGTACCCGATTCTCCTTGAAACCTCTTGTTGCTCTATAAAGGGTCCTGAAGGAGAATCTTTTGGGGCTATACTCCTGTTCCCACTGTTTAAACTCCTCTGCGTACTTGTTGTTAAAGTAGACATACATAATCCCACTTAGTATCACCAGAAGTACTACAGCTGATATAACAGAGATTATAATCACTTGGACTTGAGTGAGTGGAGGTGAAGGCTGATGGTGTGGGAGATCCAAAACTTTAGCAATGTCAAGACTTTGTGCTTTTCCGCCTATTGAAAGTGACCATCCAAGGACATATTGATGGCTGGTAAGCACACTCGTTGAACCAGAGAAACCGAAATAGATCTGCTCCTTGAAGATTTTGGAAAGGTCTACGGGTATTGACAGAAGAGGAAAGCTTGGTTTTGGGGTTCCGAAAGGAGCAAGAGTTACATTTAGCCATTTCTGATCTCCATCATATTTTATCCATGCATGAATTCTCTCACTGTTTCTGAGCACCATAGTTCTATTCATCCTTGTTGTATCATCAAAGTAACTAGTATTCTCAGACTTGACTGATACTATATTATTAATATCTATCCCACATGGTTATCACTGTTTTCAAGAGCTTCAGGGTTTTTATTGGTGTCAAGCTCTACGGCAAGGATGTGGTTATCGGTTCTGTTATCGTTTGTCTTACTGAATATCCCTAGATATGATTATGCAGCGTCATACGTTAGATCAATCGTTGAAGAGAAAAGAAAAACCATAACTTAGACGTAGTTTTTAAGGCTACTCTTTCTGGTTTCAGTGTTCTTGTCTTCTGCAATGATGACAACTACAAACTCAGTCGAAAAATAAGGGGAAGTGTTTATAAAACTTATTGGTGTTCTGATGAAGGCATGTCCAGTGGCTCTCATTGAACTATTGGTAAGTTTCAGACGCCTGTCGTCTTCGATAGTTGTCATTCCATCTGCAAACAAATCTGCTTTTCCCAAGCTGTAATACACAAACTGTAGACTCTCTTGAGCTAACACCATAGATATCACAAAGAATGACGTAATCATCATCCAGAAACTCTGTGATCCTTTGTCTCTAGCCATTTTCAAGACTATGAACTTACTTTCACTTTATTTCTGTTCTGTTTGTGGGGGATGGTTTGCTTCTTTTAAGTTTTTTTTTTTGGTTCTCCTATGAACTTTGTTAGGCAACTGATTAGTGTGGGCTGAATATTTAGACACCACTTTATTTTCCTCCTAATTATGCCTTGACAATTTCTCTTCATGATGCATGGGATGTTTTTTTTTCTGTTCCTTTTCTTGTTTTTGTCTTGAATGTTATGTTTTTTAGTTTTATCATTCAGATTGACCGGTTCTTGATGAGATGCATACAGTATGCCAATAATCAATTCTTTTAAACCAGCAAAATGCTTTGTCTATTCTGCGGTAAATCAGAATATATGATCAAACCTCTCCTTCTTTCTTGTGACAAGTTCAATAGCTCTGGCTGCCTTCCTAGCTCATACATTAGTAGATAAAGAGCAGATATCAGCCAAGTCAGCTTAGGTGATTTGTTTCTTCCATCAAACCCAAAACTGACCACAGTGACCACAAGATTATAAACTAGGATTTTGCACCAAGAATATAAACCCGAACCAAGCTGTTTATGTGACTATAAACTAATGTTCATCATAACGAACATTGCTCACCCTCTATAGTGAGCAGACCCAAAAGATCAAATATCAGAGGTTTCATTTGACAAGTCTGAGCAGCTAAAACCCGAAGAGATCAAGAGACAAGAAAAGCTTATGACTTGTGAACCAATAAAAGGATCACACAAAAATATGGACATACATTGCTAAAGAATAGAGTTGTAACCAACAATTGTGCATTAGAGGCATGCTAAACTAAGTCTAACTCTAGACCATACAAAATAAAGAAAACAAAAAAAAAACTAAAACACTGTATATACAACATTTAACAAAACCTAGTTGCGAGATACCTCAGAGCCTCAGTGTTTCAAGCATTTGATAAGTATATCACGGAGATTGTGATACCAAGCAAAGCGTGAGAGCCTTCTTCAGCAAAAGAGGTGGCAGGTGGTGGTTAGTAATTCCAGAAAATCTGGTCTCTCCGAAACTTTTTCTTGAGATAAACTCCAATTAGCTTTCTATACGTCCAGTTTTTCCGTTGGCCAAACTCCAAAACAGCTTCTGAGCTAAGATGGAAATCCCCTTTCCCCATTACTTCAAACACAAGTGGATCAGTCAAGACAACAGGAGGATCGTCCAAGTTCATTCGTCTGTATACAAACTCCAAATTCCTCGATAGCCGCTTATCCATGTATGCATCGACCACGCATCCAAAAGTCACAAGATCCGGAACAATCTTCAAACGTCTCATATGTTCGAGAGTGAGATGCAGGTCCCAGAAAAGAGCCATCCTAGAAAACGCGAGTGTCCTGATGTTAAAGGTGGTAAGGTCAGGAGAGAAGCCCGTGCCAAGCATTCCAAGGAGCTCTCTCTGCAGGCTTTTCATCTTGAACTCAGCTGCATACGACAGTAACACAGAATTCCACAAGACGTTTCCAAGTTTTCTTCTACCAAGACCAACGTCTGAACAAAACTCACGTAGCCGATAAAACTTCCTTTGTTTCAAGTATGCTAACAACACAGCTCTTATCTCTTCTTCCTCGACCGCAACTCCAGACTTCTTGAGCCGGCTATAAGCCTGCTCCATCTTCTCCAATGTACTAAAAGAGCTATAGTATCTGACAACTGCTTTACAAGTGCGGGCATCTAAAGAGATTCCCTTTGAATCCAATTCATCTATAGTATCCTCCATCAACTCTAACTGCGCATTCTTTCCAAGACAGCAAATAGCAAGCGAGCATACGAAAGGAAGCAGCTTAGGATGCCTTGCTCCTATCTCCTTGGTGATTTTGGCAACTTCACTAAAACAACCAATCTGCTCATAAGCAGAGATAAGCTTTGAGATGACAAAGAGATCAGGCACGAAAGAGCTGTTTAACATCTCCTCCCAGATACTACGAGCTCGATGAACCGAACCATTCTCAGCAAAGCAGAGCATAAGAGCGGAAAGGGTTATATAGTTAGGGACCAAGTTGTCTGATTTCATTCGAATAAAAACCTCATGAGCTACTTCAGGCAAGCTTCTCTTGCTTAAGCTTTCGATTAGTGGAGCATAGTCTACGACTTTGATCTTTCCGCTGAAATCTCCAGAAAGCTTCGAGTTTTTGATCAACTGCACACAGAGGTAGATACCAAATCTACGATGTGAAACTTACTCGTTTGCCCTATAAAATCAAATTAAGAGTCGAAACAAGTTTGATTTCACCGGAAATTTTCGAGAACAAGGTCACTGTGGTGGCAGTCCGATAGAAGAAACTGGAGGAAAAGTGTAGATTACCTTCCGAGAGATTGAAGAAGAAGACGAATCTATGGAACGAGATAAGAGCTTGAGACGGTGGGTTCTAAAAGAGCGATGATGAGATAGATTGAATCCCGTCGTGAGAAGCGTCGACATTGTTCTTTTTCTTTTTTTTTTTTGACATCAAAAACAAACCGTCGACATTGTTGTTATCGTCGCCGATTGTGAAGATTCTCAGAGAGAAGATTGAAGAACTCAGCCACAGCATTGTTTGTTTTTTTATTAATTGTTTATTGACCCCTCAGAAAGTTATTCCTTATTAAAAAGTCCATAACAATTTTTATGGCACTACAGTTATACTATATATATATATGAGACCATTACATTTAAAGGCACTTTTTCAAATATCTATTAATCAGTTGTTGTATTAAATTTATTTTATGTTATTTTTAATTTTAGTATTTTTTATATATTTTTAATTTATGTTATTTTTAATTTCAGCTAATCTTATTATATTTTTATTTTTTATTTTTAAATTTATCTATTTTTATTTTAAACTAGAATGCCCCTTTCTCTTGGTTCCTTGGCTCCAGTGCTTATATCTTCTCAGTTTCTCTCTGTTTCCATTCCTTTCGCTCACTCGTTCTCCCGAAAAGTCACAGAAACACAAAAGAATTTTCTACTATTCCGTATTCTTTTTCTTTCATTTTCTTCTAGTTCTCTCTTCATTCTTTCCCAGAAAACTGTTACTTCCTCTGTCTCCGACGCTTTCTTTTCTCAGGAAACTGACAAGAAACAGAGCATAATCCTTCTTTTTCTTTGAAAATGTGCGTGGCGTCTCTTTCTTGCGTTTGTTGCCTCCTTCTATTCCTCTACATTGTCTACATGATCATTTCCTTCATCGACTTCTTCTTTATCCGAGTTCCCCATGTATTTCGCGCCTAATGGAAGAAGAACGTCAAAATCTCCACAAACCCATCTATGGAGTTCCGCGAAATCACAAGAATTCTCAGTCACAGCGAGATCTCTCTTGCTACTACGGTCTAAGGGAAAACCCAAAGAAGAAAACCCAGGAATCTTTTGGATTGGAATCGCCAGAACTGACGAAGAAGATGTTTTTCCGATGCGGAGATTGTGGAAAAGGGTTTCGGTACGAGAAGTGTCTTTCGAATCATCAAGCGGGGATGCATTTATCGACGAACCATAGGGTTTATGAAGCATCGATCAAGAGTCTGTGTAGTAGCTTCGGTCTTGTGAGGAAGATGAAGAGGTCGAGAGTTATCAGGTACAAGAAGACTCCATTGTCTTGTTCGTTTAATACATTTCTCGAATCGCCTTCTGTTTTTGCTGCGAATGATGAAGAATTACAAGTGGCAGAGTGTTTGATTCTATTGTCTAAGAGTAGTCCCAAGCTTGTAGTAGACGGACTGAAACTTGTTAGTGAAGCAATGGGTGCAAATCCTGAAACGCCTAGATGTTGTTTGAGCAACAAGAAAACACGAAAAGCTGGTGAATTTAAATCTGGGGTTTCAAGTAAGGAGCAGAATCTTATGGAAGAAAGGTTTAGTAGATATGAAAGATTGAAAGAACCAGCTGAATTTGAGTCTTGGTTTTCGAGTGATGAGCAGAAACTGGTGAAAGACGAGATTAGTAGTGATGAAACATCAGAGGAGCCAGCGAGTTTCTTGGGTGAAAAGAGTGGATTGGATCAGTGGAAACTGAAGAAATCCTGTGACTTTGAATCTGGGTTTTACAGAACTGAGCTTGGAGTAGGAGATATGGAGTGTTCTGATTCAGATACTGGATCTGATAACAGGAATGTTGAGCATCAATGCAAGTTGTGCAACAAGGTGTTCTCGTCATATCAAGCTTTAGGTGGTCATCAGACGTTTCATCGGATGAGCAAAAGTAAGAACAAGAAGAATCGCAGAGAGGAATCAGTAGAAGAGCCTGAGGTTGAGTCTGTTACTGAGAAGAAAGAGAAGAAGAGGCACGAGTGTAGCATCTGTTCAAAGGAATTTCAGCTCGGTTCATGCTTTAGGTGGTCACAAGAAGTCTCACGGCAAGGGAAAACAATCGAAAACAGAGCATGATCATGAAGGTTTGGGGCTACTCAGTGTTGTTCCTAGTACTGATGGAATCGAGTTTTTCTGAAGTTCTGTTATTCGAATAGGATTTGATGTTGTAAAGAATTTGGTAGTCAAATTCTAGACTTTTGTTTGCTCTGTTATTTTAGATGAGAAAACTCATTTATGTACTTGGAGTTTAAGCAATTTCCTGTGAAATTTGATGGAGAAAACTGATTGGGATTTTTTTTTACTCTACTTACTTGTTTATCGCAGTATCTTCACTTTCTGAATCGAAGTTGTAGACTTTTTGCTCTGTTTTTCTTTTCAGAGTTTCTTTTAGCAAATTTCCGGGAAAGTGATGGGTAAAAGTAAAACAATAAAGAAGTGTTTTTCGAGAAAACTGTCGATTTTTTTTTTTTTTGTAAACTTTCCTTAACTTGGGTTTGATTCCGGCTGGAGTAAATTTTTGTCGATTTGAAAAGTCAGAATGGAATGTGTCGGTCGGTCTTGGTATTCAACAAAACTCTTGAGCATATAAATGAAATTAAATAACAACATTTTGTAATAGGGTGATTTGCATTAATATTACTTCTAGAAGAACAAATTAAGTGAACTAGGTGAATGTCCGCGCTAGACGCGGATAGTTTTTGTAATTTATTGAACATTATTTAAATTCTGTATGTAATTATGTATTTTTTGTTGAAAGTAACCTTTTATTACTGAAAGCCTTTTATTACTGAAAGCTGAAATTCGAGATTGTATTTTAGAACGTAAATAACAGATTGTTTTTTGAAACAGAAATAATAATTGTAATTGTTAACATATTATTTGAGCCAATAGGACTTGTTAAAAATTTAAGTAAGATGTTATTAGAGTTTTCTTTGTTTTAATTGAATTTCATAAATTTCTTTTTTTTTTGATTTTGTTTTTTTAATGATCATGTCTGCTTTTTTTTTTACTTCTTCTGGTTTTTCTATTAAAATCATCGCTTTCTTTAATAATTAAAAATAAACAAATATTCATGTGTTTTGATGTGTACTCGGTTTTCTGTTATTTCATATTTGTGTTCAAGCCTCTTGTCCTTTAATAACATCATCATTAATTTTGGTCCGTTTTTTTTAAAGTTAATTAAAGTACTTTTTTTGGTTTGTAAAATCAACTAAGGTATTTAGCCATATCTTATATATCATTTAGAGTAACCAAAATGACAAGTTTTTAAAAGCGGAGCAGAGGTGTCAGTAAGCAGTGTATTCTCAAGCTGCACATCATGGCGTAATTGAAGCACATAATAAAAAGTGACGAGAAGTTATGGCGTCAGTTCATGTGGTGCAACATACGTAATTTATGAAATAAGATTGGAAACGATCATTTGCTATCTCCTCACAAATAGCATCAACAGTGGCAGCTAAGGTTTTATATGATTTACAGTAAGATAAATATGTATCACACAATCGTAAACTAGGTCAGAACATCCAAACATCTAATTTCCAAATCTAAAGCAAAGAATCCAAGTCAAGAAAACGTTGATAGTTTCTCCAATCACCACAGATGCCTTGCCAGGTACATAACTTTACTTTTTCAGCCTAATGAATATTGGGAAAACCATATACATACCAAGGAGTGGCAGTAGTGGACACCGCAAATCGGCTGGTGGAAAAAGCACCTAGCGTGAGAAGATAAAGATTGTAAACAAAAACTTATACACAAGGATCAAAAATCAAAAGATATTAAAAATTGGACGAAGACGGATGGATCCAGCTCTAAGACTTGAGATGGAGAAAATGAAGGCTGTAAGTAGGAAAGAAAATGTGTCAAATAGAAATCAACCTCTATAGTCTAGAGCACCACAATGACCAATAAAATGTGTTATTATCTCTTGGTTCTGTTTAACGATATATCTCATTGTTTCTTAAAAATGATTTCAATATATCCATGATCAATATATTTATATATATATATATATATACGTATATAGATGATAGATCTCATTGTTTCTTGGAAATGATCTCAATATATCCATGATCAACTGGATCACAAAAGGTTACTAACTGTAAATATGAAAATGGAAAAGCTTGTTGAAGAAAATAATATTGAATAAGAAACAGCTTACCGAGAAAGTCGATACGGTCAACAATCATACAACTATGATATACGATAACAGCAGTAAATCTTGTGATATATCTTCCCCTCAAAGCATCATTATCTTCTCCGGCTGACTCTACTGGTGGTAGGTCTACTTCTTGGTACCATCATTTCGAACAAAGTGTTTTGCACATGCGATCACATTGTTTCTATCACAAGTAGTGAACTAATCCATGAGAAATGACATCATAGCTGTTAAAAGACACATATGAAGCCATATACATACCCACCTGCAACAAAATGGTAACCGATTAGGTGTTCTTCGGGTGGGACGCCTTTTACTCCCGAAACAAGCGAGCTGACCTCACAGACAAGTCCACCATCTTAACCATAACTGTCATAGCTTCGTTCCCATCTGGGATCTCTGTAGACCGTTAGGAAGAACAAAGTAACAAAACGTTTGAGTCAATAATTACAAGTCATGATGTTTCAATATCGTTATGGGAATTACGTATACAAAAGTGACTTACAGCCTCATAGGAAGCAATTGCCCAGTGAACTCCACTCGCCCTTACTCCAAGTTCAGTTGTGGTTACGATTCTTCTGACCAAACCACACACAGTGTTATCACAGCCACAGTGTTATCACATTAATAGCAATCTACACGCTGCACGGCACCAATAGAAGAACCGATCTTAGACCAAAACAGATTCTAATCAAAGCAACTTCAATACTCCTACGACCCTGTAATCAGAAGCTAATTGAAGCAAAGTTAGGATTACAAGGTGGATCCAAATCAGGTTAGTAGGTTCGTTTGAATGTCCTATACAAGGCAAGGATCATCATAAAAACAAAAACAGTAAAATTCAGCCTAAACCATTACAATTAGAGAGCTTAAACTATAAACAATACTGAATTATCGGATTGTAAAGGTTCTCAGACCTTAATTTCCAGGTTCAGTTCATGCAAATCTCGCTCTGCTGAAAGTAAAAGAGAATGGTAATCAGGATTTAAAAAACCTAGTCGCTCCGAGTCCGATGTTGTGGGGGAAAACGGTGGCCCCCAAACGCCTTTGACAATCGCCTTTAAACCTCAAGAGCCTAAAAGCGGCATGGTCGTAAGCTCCGACGATCAATCTTGCCAACAATAACCCTAGGACGAAGCAGAGCGAATGGAAATCAAAATGAAAGGCTCGAGATCCAGAACGGCGGAGGCAAAGAATTTTAAAATTACCAGCACAGTCTCTTTCTTGAGTCTAAAGCCGCTGACCTTGCTTGTGGCTTCCATGGAAGAGAGGCAAAGTTGAGAAGACCCAATCTCCCACTCATTTGTATCAATATTTCTCTTGGTAGATTTAAAGTACGAATGGTCAGATGAGAAAAATAAAACGAATTGATTTTCGTATAAATGTGGAAAGGGTAGAAGAGCAAACGCAGGAAAAAATTAATGTCAAGAGTAAATTTAAAACTAAAGAGAGGAAGATAAGAAGGCATGAGTTAAAGCGCGTGAACATCAAACTATGAAAGGAGACAAGTGTCATTTTCACAGATGCTGACGTGTCGCAAAATTAGAGAGAGTTGAGCACGTTTTATAGTATAGATACTATAAAAAAACAGTTAATAAGTGTGTAGCAGAAGTCAACAACAAAAAGTATGTGGAAATGATATTACATTTCTTATTCTCTAAATCTAGACATTGCTTTTTCTGACCAAGGTTGGATCACACCAACTCACCAAGACGCAGACGTTAACTATTTTTTGGAACAATAGCAACGTAAACTTTATTGTTACTTTAGCAAGCTTTAAACGTTATTGTCGTTTAGTACTACGTGTACGACTAGATTAATTTCGAGAGGACCCTAGTGGATTAGATAAATAGCCATTAACACAACATCCATGAACCAAACATTCAAAGCTTCTGATTTTTAGCGTTATAATTCGTATTTTCTCAAGAAATTATACACGGTGTCTTTTTGCTCAAATCATTTAAAATCTGAGATAACTTTATGAAATAATTAACTATTTTCATAAAAAATATTTTTTCAGAGTATGCGGTTATGTAGTAAACGACTATTTTTCATAAAGAAGTTGCATCCGCCTCAGATGAACATCTTCTCATTCTAAAGTTATGAGACATTATGAACGATATTTTCTATGATTGCACCAAGTTGAAAGTAAATAGACATATACTAAGTAGTCACCTATCACTTCAGTATAGCCATTCTTTTCAATTTTAATTCTTTTGTTTGTTGTATTCGTATATTTATAGTAGACAACTACTAATAGGTGACTATGTTTAAAATGTAGGTGGTTGTTGTCAGCCACGATGAATATGAAGTTTACAACAGAATAGGAGAGAGGTGTACATAACAAGTTATCGGCAACTTCTTCTTATAGCAACATTGCAAACGAGAAGCTTATGGGAGAAGTGTACACAACTAGTTTTTGGAGATCCCTTTATGAATAATCATTCCACCTAGTACCAACTCATGTATGTTATGGTGTCTCAGAACTACTTCCTCCAGTAATGCGTTGACCAAATGGTCGACCAAAGAAAATAAAGATCCCATCCCGAGAAGAAATGAAGGTAACGTAGTCAACTATTTAGTGTTTGTAACATAGTCAGCTTTAATATAATGTGTTATAGTTGCTTACTTTGTGGTTGAAATGTGGTTGATCCAATTCGTTTGAATGACACGGAGAAATTTGTGGAATGCGACAAAACTTTGCAGCAGGTGTCTTGGGAGGTGTCACAATGGTAACTTTATAGTCATAGTTGACTATTTTCATAGAAAATCATTAGCTCGGAGTATGTAGATATGTAGTAGACAACTATTTTCATAAAAAGTTGCATTCCCCTCAGACAAACATTCTCTCACTCTGAAAGTGTGATATATTATGGACGATACTTTCTATAGTTGCACCAAGTTAAAAGTAAACATACATATACCAATTAGTCATCTATTACTTCAGTATAGACGTCCCTTTTAATTCTAATTCTTATGTTTTTTGTGTTCATATATTTCTAGTAGAAGACTACTAGTAGGTGACTATGTTTAAAATAAAACTTCGTTTGAATGACACGGAGATGATGACTACTTTGTAACATGTTTCGATTAGATAGCTAGTACTCCAAGTCGATTATTAGTAGTTGTATATTTTCTCCATAAAACTGAAAGTTGATTCTAATACTTAAGTAAGTATTAATAATTGTCTACTTCGATTAGATAGCTACTACTCAAAGTCGATTATTGGTAGTTATCCATTTTCGATGACTCAAAGAATTCAGGGTAGCACTTTATTAGTTGAGCTGTTTAATGAAGGCAGATAGGTTGAGCGCCTTGATGAGAGATGGTTCCTTGAATGTTTGGTTTAAAACCTTACATGAACAAACAAATGAACAAGCATCTTCTGCAGATTCTCTAGCAACCTTTACAAAGACATCAATGAGTGCATCGTGAATTTGGAGAAGCACATTATATTTGAACGGTGTGGGTTCACATCGAAGAGAACACATATCCCTACAAAGGAAAAATGGCAAATAGTTAACTATTGTAAACTGATTACTATCGTAACGTAGTTAACTACCGATAGTTATACTAGTAGTTGGATATATGTGCATAGTAGTTATGTAGACTAACTGAATATGGAGTATCTATTTATTGTATCTGTTATAGATGATAAGAGTAGACGATTACTAATGACCATATTCAATGTTGTTACTACTTACTCAGTATGCATATAAAAATAGTTAACTACTCTAGATCTACAAAATCAAGAGAACCAGATATCGATAACAATGAAAAAGATGATGGAACTGTCAAAACTTACATGAACAAGCAAATGGACAAGCATCGTTGGCCGATACCCTACCAACTCTTTCAAAAATATCAATGAGTGCATCACGAATCTGGGGAGCACATTGTTTGCAAACGGTGTGGGTTCGGATTGTTGAAGAGTATACATATCCCTTTTAACACAAAACAGTCAAATAGTTAGCTACTGACTAAATAACTACTACTGTGACGTAAATAACTACTGTTGTTCAAAAGAATAGTTGATTATTCATGTATAGTAGTTCTGTAGACTAACTGAATACGTGCGTAGACATTTACTAACGACGATGACAATAGTTATATATTGAAGGTAAGATCTACAAATCCTAGATCTGAATACGTTGTAAACCAGATGTGGATAACAAACAAAAAGACAATTGTACTGGAAAAATACAGAGTACAAATTGGCAGGAATCATGAGTAGATGATTACTAAAGATAGTGTAAATAGTTAACTACATAAGTAAGATTTGAAAATTCTAGATCTACAAAATCAAGAAACCCTGATGTGAAAAAATAGCGAACAAGGACATAATACTGAAGAAAAACGAGAACAATAAACATAACAGAAATAGTAGAAAGAAGCAGAAGAAAACCAGATATCAAAACGGTACCTGGCACAAGTACTTGGCAGGCGAAAAAATCAGCAATGTTATGGAAGGTGATGAACCGGAGAAAACGAGGGATGGTAGAGCTTCGTCGTAGAAAACGAAAGGAGCAATAAGATGGACGGACAGGACCTCACCGTAGAAATAGAGAGTAGAGAATTATGTGGATGTCTGAAAATGAAATTGAGTTTCCAATAGTTGAAAGATTTTTTGAAATGAGATTCTCTGGATAAGTTTTGAAAGAAAGAGAATCAATTCAAAATTTTTTTAAAAAATATAGATAATGAGCTCAACTAAATGTTTTGTAGCAAAAGTTATGGTGGTGTTGAAAATAGAAATTGTCAGAATCTATAAAAGTTTTATTGGTGTGGTTTAAAAGAACAAGTGTTGTTTAAATTTGATGAGGGGGTTCGATGTCTTTGCTCACGATTAAAAAAATGGGTTTTAATCTACCTAAATAAGACTCTGGAGAATGCTATCCCACCTAATTTCCCTTTGTAATATGCTAAACGAAAACGCCAAAGAGAATTGTACGGAAATTTCGTAATTAATTTTTTCGAAAACCCCTTAGTATAATTGGACCTACCAGCTAAGACTACATTTACATACTTGCTTATCACCTTAAATCGAACTTGCGTACAACATCAAATCAACTGTAATTCACGGTGTTTTCATGTGTACCACGCCAATTTAGTGTAATGATTAGTACAAAATATGTGATTACACTGTTCAACTTACTGTGTTACAAATTAAGTTTATTATCGGCTCACAGATAGAATTATTTACATATGTTCTATAAATAACGTGAAAAATGATTCTTTCTATTTATTAAATAATTCGTATGCAAATCCATTACCATTAAAAAAGATACTATGCGTTACTCAAGACAAGTATGGTGTAATTTTATATTTTTCAGTTTCATTGATTTGTTTACAATAAAACTATTAGAAAGATGGAGTAAATGTCTAATTATCTAGAATGAGACATGCCATTTATGTATAAAATATCTAATAATTTATATTTATTAAGAGAGAATCCGTGCTATGCACAGATCTTATTTTTTTATATATAGGTGAATATATTTAGATTTTTAGTTTAACTATCAATTTTATTTTTAATTCATTCATCCAAATTTCAAGTTCCTAGATCTAAATTTTGATGTTGAGATAAATTTTAACTTTCTTAATATACATTTTTTATGATTTTAGTAATCTCTTTCATCTATTATCATTTTGAGTTTTTCATCAAAATCCTGGCTAACAACAATTTTAACTTTTTTCAGTTTATCATTTTCATATTTTCTTATTACATATATTTCATTCAATTCATCTTTCAAACCAAAACCTTCAAAATTGTTCCCATATATATCATTTTCTTTTTTTTCTTCTTTTTTTTCTCTCTCTATTTTTGATATCTTGATAATTTTTTGACTTTTTGTGTTCAAATTTATTTTATTTATTTATTATTCTTCAGTTGTTTGTTTTTTGTTTAGAAAAAATATCTCGTTCTCATATTTAGTCTCATAACTTATTTTCTACAATTTAACATTTTTTATGATCTTAGTAACCTCTTTTATCTATTTTTTTTATTTATTTAAATCCTCACATAATAATTATTTTAAACTTTTCAATTTATTATTTTCATATTTTGTTAGTACATATTGAATCCATCTTTCCAAAGAATACCTTTAAAATTTTGTATATTTATTTGTTGTCATATTCTTTTTTTCTTTTCTTTTCTATCATTTTTTTCTCTCTAATTTTGATATTATCTTATCTTCTCTATTATTTGATAATTTTTGTGTGTGTTGTAGTTTTATAGTTCTTGTTTTTTTGTTTTTCAGTTGTTTGAAAATCTTTTTAACTATATTTTGTATTGTTGGTCTCAATTTGTTTTTCTCCTTCATGTTATTGATTGAATGTTTTTTATTAGTTCAAAGATGAAAATTAAATCACATGAAAAAATAAGAAGACAATTACTATACTTTAATAAATTTGAATTATATTTATTCTAAATTTATGCTTTAATATTTTTAATCTAACATAGTTAAATGAATTACATAATATATATATATATATGTGTGTTGTTTGATAGATTTTCTTTAGTTTTATTGTTCTTATTTGTTACTCTTCAATTGTTTTTTCAAACATATTGTTTTAAGTTTTAGGCTCATAACTTGTTTTAACCATTTTACATTTTTATGATTTTAGTAACTTCTTACATCTTTTTAGAGGTTTTTCATTTAACTTTTTGTGATTTTAGTGACCATTTGTTAACTTTTTGTAGAAACTCTTCTGCATAACAACAAACTTGAAAACAGAACTTTCAGAGAGACTATTTTGGAGAAGAGAGACTATTTTGGAGAAGCATAGAAGTTACAAAAACATATAGCTTACAATCAACGTAATCAACATTTTTCGGGAAATTGAGTCAAAAAAAGAACGCTAGAATAGTAATCTCACACATATATCCCAAAAAAAAATATAGCTCAAACGCAGCAAAACATATGAAGAATACACAAAAATACGAAGAGAATAGCTCAATAATGAAGAAAAATTGATAGTCAACAACAAGAACTATACTTCATCATGTGGCTACACATGCAAACTAAATTAATATACATCTAACTACATGAACTATATGATGGAAATTTGGATTTTTCCGACCTCATCTTTCCGAAAATATTAAACTTATGCTTAAACAAATTTTTTGGCCTAAACATACTTAATCGTTAAAAAAATTTGAATTTCAGTCTTAATGTATGTTTTGTGCATAAATCTACTTCCGTCCAATGGGTATTAAGTCGCCATCAAGCACTGTCTACGTGGATTCCACGTATAAGCCATGACTTCGTTTTGGGCTGTCAAAGTCTGTAAAAAATAATGACAAAACGATGTCGTTTTTTTTTCTGGGTCTTATCAGATCACAAAAACTGTTTCGGGGAAACTTGAAAGCAACCGACATTCTGATTATCAATTCTGCACCACATCGATATTTCGATAGTATCCCTCTCTGTTGCTCAGTCTCGTGCCGCTTGAATGTAATTCCTTCATGAAATATACAGGGTAAGAAGACAGTAATTAGAAACTAAGGAACACAGAAAAAGGGAAAACCAAAACCACTAACCAGAACTGCTCGAAGAAAACATCGACATCGAAGAATCGAGAGGTTGAAGAACTAGATTTTTCAAACCCATAAATCGAGACTCAGTGAAAGGAAAAGTCAAGAGTTAGAGAACACCGATGACCATAAAAAAAAACTTAACTAAACGTCGTCATTTTGTTAAAAAAAAATTCCCTACGATTTAGGGAGGAAAACGACCTCGTTTTGTCTCTTTTATGATGATCTAATTCACAACCCATACGACGTCGTAGCTTACGTGGAGTCCACGTACACAATGTTGACGACAAATTAACAGCATTTCTCCAAAAGTAAGTTTAGGCACAAAAAATATACATTAAAGCTGAAATTCCAAATTGTTTAACGATTAAGTTTGTTTAGGCCAAAAAAATTGTTTAGGCATAAGTTTAACATTTCAGAAAGATTAGGTCGGAAAAAGCCAAATTTCCACTATATGATCTATATAACTACATGTATCAATTAAATTCATGTATAAAATCATGGAACAATTGATGTATTTTGGCTATATAATTAATGTACCTAGAAGTACATGATATATAGTTAATGTATTCCGAACTACACGACAACGTTATATGTAGCTGAATGCAACACAAACAGATCACAACATAATTATCTAAAAGAGTATACATGGTGATGCATTCAGCTACATATAACATTAGTCCACAAAACTTTGGAATGCACTTATCATTTTTTGAATTATCGGTAAGAGACATAGGATTTTGACAAAAACTTGCCAAAAAAAAAAAATTCAAAATTCAAACATATAAACCCCCAATCAGTAAAGTTCAACATCAATTGTTCAGAACAGCAACTGTTAACCTGGGATTAAGATTGTCTCTTACAACAAAATCTGCAAAATATAAAAATTAACAAAAATTTGCTGCGCATAAGTTTTTTTCGCAGTTTAGAAACTCTGTTTTTGTAGATCTGGTGGCTACAAAACTAACATGGGATCACAGACTTGAGACCAAACGAGTGAAAAATGTGTTGGAGCCTATTTGTAATGAGAAAACGCAAGTAGAACAGTCTCTTCATGATTGACCAACTTCTTTAATCCAAATATAACAATGAAGTTCAAAAATCCCAAAGACTTAAGAGCTGAAGATCTTTGAGCTTCAATTTTTAATCCCATTACATTGCCAGTTCTTGGGCCTTTAGCTAGAAGTTGAGGCTCATTCGATAACCAGATTGTTCATTACTAACAATTCAACGATTAGAGGCATCATCTTTGATTCACTATGTGCTTTGGTTTAATCATTGATGCTATTAACTTGAGAAGATATTATAAAAACTTAATACACCTAACATTCAACCAAATGTCAATGTATACACATAACTTAGTAGCAGAAGAATCACCACAAACCAAGATCAAAAGATGGTGCATCTTCCTCCAAACCATTACTCCTTTGATTGCCCGGATGAGGTTTAACCGGTGCATCTTCTTTCTTTTTCGACTCTGAACTCTGTTTCGACAATAACAATGTGGCCTGTGCTTCCATGGCATCAAAGTCTAGTGTCGCGTAGAATGCATCATCGTCGTCATCATCACCATCATCATTGTATTGTAATGCACTTGCATTGCTTCTCACGACTTCACGGCTTTCCTTCTCCATGACTTGTGCATCAGCTGCGAACTTATTTTCCAAGTTAATCACGGGGACATCCCCCGAGTTGCATAAGCCAAATTTCCTTTTCCGACTCTCTGCTGAGATTTGTACTACCGAAAAGTCTCCTGTGACCATTGTTTCCTTGTTTGACTCAGAGTTTGTTGTCTGTGGTGTTCTGAGAGAAGACAATGATCTTTCTGAGTCGCTTCTGCTCTCGATTATAGTCTTCAAGGGACCAGAAGAATAGGGACTTGGACTTGATGCGGCTAAATCACGAAATCTTGCTGGTAATGGTGATTGGCTGAGTAAAGAACGTCTGTGGAAGGATACCTTGTGATTTTTAGTAAGCTCATTGACTGACCATTTTTACTCACAATAGAAGAAAGATGCTTTTGATACTATTTACCTGTAAACAGCCATCATATCAACTTTACCAGACTCGGCTTGAGTATTTGCTGTAGGTATTGTCCCGTCATCTATGAAACTATCTTCGAATGAATCACCAGCCACATCTTCGTTCTCATCAGCAGACATTTCTGCTTCCGAAGAGACTCTGGACAAAATAGAGAGGTTTTAACAACTAAACATCAACTCTGTATCTAGGAAAACTACAATTGTTATATTGTCTCTCCTTGTTTTCCGAAAGCTAGAAAGATCATCAGATGTTGATTTATAGATTAAATAAGAACTTACTCAGCTTCTGCGTCAATGAAGATTCGGGCATCATTATCCACACTCATCTTCCTCTTACCTTCAATCACAGAGCAATCAAGCAGCAATCACTCAAACAGGTCAATGTGACAAGTATTTTAACTTGTTCAGGACATCAAGACTTTTACAATATAGGAAAAATTGTTATTCTTACATTGAAATTCTACTTTTTCTCTCAATAATGTAAAAGCAGCAGCAGGATCCATAAATTTCGGTCTGTCAAATCTCTAGTACTTAAAATTTTTAGTACAAGAAAAACACAGAACCAGTTACCTCTAATGTGCTTATCACTGTGATAGCAAGATCTGTTATGGTCTGCCTTTGCAATATCAAGAGTATTCTCCTTTACAGCACTCGAGCAATCTCCAAGTTTACGTAGTCTCTTCAATTTGCGAGGTTGTTGAAGAGTTTCTGACTTTTCTCCAGAACTCAGCCGCCAATCTTTGCTAGCGCTGCTGTTTGTGTTTGCGAGATTCGCCAAGGGAGTTCTCCACTGCTCAGGCATGGGTGAAACAGCCAAGCTTTCTGTTCCGTTGGCCAAACCTTCCTCCTTCTGAGGAGTTCTGAATTCATTGTTTGTTGAAGTAATGTGATCATCGCTGCCTTTATGTTGAATCTTTGTCTCAGGGCAATAAGGCTCTTCTGCCACATTATTGAATCTCATAGAGGAAGAAAGCTTAGGAAGATCAAGGTCTTCTTCTCTGTTCGCTTCTTTTGCAACTCCTGCAGCGTTAAAGACGTTATCAGAACATAATAAGTTCCAAGTCTTTGTTTGCAAAAATGGTGGATTCAAACGTATAATCAGCACGAAGATAATAGGATTACAAGAGCATTATAGATGTGTCAAAGTAAATATGTTTCTGAATTTTTAAAATACAGGTTCCAACTCTAGATGTTTCATTGTTTTCCGAGTCATATTCTCGCCTGAAATAACAAAATATATAGTATGACTCAATAACAACAGTCCATATTTCTCTTCTTCATATAAATAAAATGTATATGTTGTTATTATCTAATACCAACTTTGTGTGGTTACAGCCAATTGCAACAGCAACCGCAACCCCAAACACTATGATGTGATGCATTCTATGTGTACTGAATGCAAATACACTCAACCAGATATGCTATTCATTTATTCTTATCTAGTTACAATTCCAGCTCTAACCTATACTAAATGTTCAAGAGATATCAGATAACACTAACCTTGGTCATAGATAGGTGAATCTGGAACAACACCACTCTTGATGAAGTTAGTGAGCCTTGGGCTAAGCTCCAAGTCCTCACAGTCATCCTCATCCGATGATAACATAATCTCTCCAACAAAATTAGCTACATCTCCTTTACCTAAACCAGTTGAGTGTCTTGTCACAAGGCTTTGAGTCTCTAGTATCTCGTCGGCATTCTCTAGCGAGAATCCTTGCTTTAACTTGCATGATATGTTATCTTTCTCATATTTTGTGGAAGTACCTATCGGAGGAAATTCAATGGGGGATCTTTCTGGGCAAAAATGTTGTTTTTCTGTTTCAAGCATATAGTCTGACCCTAGCACATTAGAAGAGAATGAAAGAGGAACAGGCAATACAAAAACCTTCCCCAGAGTATCAACAGATGCACAGTCTGAACCGAAAAGATAATGGTGTGTGGGTGAAGATTCTTCAAAATCTTTCTCTGTAGTCTCTAAGGTGCTTGTAGGAGACTCAATAACTTGTTTTGCCTTTATCTGTGATGTGTTGACATCCAAATCACCGAGAGGGTATAGATCTGCACATTAATACAATATAATGAATGTATTTCAACACTACACTGAAAGTCCTGATTGTTCAGAAGTATGAAATGCAAAAGATACATTAAAAGTAGCACTTCGATTATTCTTTGACGCATGCTTAAGTGGAGACAGAAATAACAGGTTAGTAATACGGCAAGACAGAGCTTATGTAAAACATATATGCAATAGATATGAGATAGATATCAAGAAATAAGTTTGAAAATTCTTATAATTTCATACTGCAGGGGCATGCATCAGAGTGCTGTTATTAGTCCCCCACTGGCGACCATTAGTTTTTTTATTGAGGTCTATAAACATCTAAATCCTATAACAATAGGGACAGTTTCATTTGGGTCTCTGAGAAGTGACATGGATCTAAAGAAAATATGTTCATACTATATACAAAGCAGAGAGCAGATCCCAAAGTAGGCTCATTTGGTCATTGTTATCATGTATATGGATTAATAGCTTATAAGCCTTATAAGTACTAGTACTAGCTAATAGCTTATAAGCTATAGACCTCCTACTAGCTGGTTAAAGATTAAATTATATCCATGTGGCAGGTTAGAATTGTTACTTCGGCGAGATGAGTGAGACTATTTTTACCTTTCGGATCATCACCAACCCTCAAACCTATATCAAGATCCTCTCTTCCACCCAAAGGAGCTCCAACCTATTGGAGCAAGTGATCCCACGTAAGTGAAAAATGAACTAACAGATAGCAAGGAAATACCAAATTATATATCAGGATTATGATCCACACCTCAGTGAAGAGATTTTTATTTTGCTCTGAAAAGGTTGTCTCTTGCAAATGCTGCATAGCGTCAATTAATATGCTTGTTTGACGTGAATGCATTACTTTGTGTACTTTAGATGGCAATGTCTGGAAGTGAGGGAACGCAATCAAGGACACTCGCCACTTTTCCTCGTTGGGCTTGTAATACTTGGCGAGCATATCTGTTTCTGCAGTTGTAAGCTTTTTCTTGAAAGTTGGAGTCTCAGTGGCAGGTTCATCTTGTAGTTTCTTTCCACGTGGAATGAATTGCTCAATAGAAAACGTAACATGCTGAACTTCTGGTTTATAAACATGGGGAACCTATAATAGCACATGACAGGGGTATATGAATTATGATGTAAAAAGAAGTTGAAACTCAAGCAACAAAGGAAAACGAATTTTAATCAAGAAAGAGTTTGAACAGATCTTACCATCCTTGGACTAGGATGAAAATTAAAACTATTCATTCCTCCATTCCGCATGTGTTTATTAATGGCCCGGCCATTTGCTTGCTTCCGCATGTAGCTATTTTTTTCTGACCCTTCACAAGCAAGAACTAGTAAAGGCTAGTCAAGGAATGGCATAATTAAATTCCAATGAAAAAAGTGGCACCGCAATGATATGTAAAGGTAGGACCAATGAGAACTGCATATATCAAGTGAGCTAAAGGATATCAACTCGACCATTATTTTTCCTTCCGGTTCTTCCCATGCGTTGAATCATCCTCAAAGGGGACACATTAGCATCAAAACATATAACTAGGTCGACTTCCATGATATCCAAGCCTTCTTCGCCAATAGATGTTGCAACAATAACATTGAACCCACCAGATCGAAATTTCTGTAGGAATAAATCATGCAAGAGATGGTTTAAAAAAAAAAGAACAAAGAAAGGTAAACTTTTCATAAAAGGGAAACAGACATACCTCCAAAACAGCCTGCTGAACTTTTTGCGACTGCCCTTTCAGTGTCTTACCTGCAAGAAACATACATTGTAATAAATTTAGATGATACTTCTCTGTACCTGAATTTCAGATGTAAACATCAGAGCAACAAACCTGAACTTTGACCAATAAACTCAGTTGCTTTGACCACATCTCCAACATTATTTAATGCGTCCATAATGTCTCTGAAGATGAATGAGGTCAGATGAATGCAAAACAAAAGACGTGACGGGCGAGTAAACAAGGGAACACAAACGAAAATTATACAGACCTTACGCTTCCTCTGAAATTTGAGAAAATAATGACCCGTGATGTCCTTGGATCTTTCATTTCTGCAGCCATAGAATAAGATCACATCAATGTTGAATTGTCAATTAGCAGCAGAGAACTAACATCAACCCTACATCAAAATTTAAAAAGAAAACATACTGTAATGATCAACTAGTATTTCTAACATCTTCGACAATTTTGGGCTTGGTGCTCCATTCAACAACCTTTGCTGCATCAAAAGCTTCGTCATCCTAATATCTTCATTCTTACTCATCAACCTAGCGAATGGCCTGCAAAAATGTGATAGTTTTAAAGAAACTTATTTGACATGCCCTTTGATATTGAAAGCTATGAAATGCTATCAGACACCACATAAAATCAGTTCAACAGCAGAAAATAAGAGTATACCCTGAATGCAATTTTTCTTCTAGCATCTCATATGCTGGCCTTATTCCATGACTAGACAGGAGCTTACGAATGTGATAAAGAGTGATAAGAGCTGAAAAGCAAGATTCTACATCTCCATGACTTATATGTGGAATGCCTGGCAGAGGTGCTTCACGAAACTTATCCCTTGCCATAAGTAATTCATGCGGACTTAACTGTCAAACATGAGTTGACGTGTGCGTGGATAAAAAAATGTGAGCATTGACGCTAGTGGTGAAAAATAGATATAAGGATCGAGACACATACAGTTTGATAGTCCCTGCTTAGATTAACCCCAAATTTTTTAAGCCTGGTTGCATATGGACATATAACATCTAACAGGCGTTTAGATACCTCATCTGCATCTTGACCCAAGGGAACCTGCTCTACCATAAAGATGCTACAATTATTAGAGGTGAATCTGAGAGCAAAAAATTTGGAAAATGCAAGAAACAAGCTCGAACCTCGATAAGTTCTACTTTTCTGTCGTGGACATAAGGGCAAACATCATGGTCACTCTCGTTTCGATATTCAAGTGTTGATATCTGCAAATTATCAATGATACCCTGGATGGCCTGTGTTTTTGCTGAAAATAACATGTAAGGTTAATGAGTGAGGAAGTATAATAGCTTACATGCAGAAGATTTTATATTTAAATAACTTACATCCAGGAGTTGCAGTAAGAGCCAGTATTCTCAATTGTACTGGTACCGCCATCAACTAAAAGTTAAAGGGCATTAGTTGGTACCTTTACCATGTATGAATGAGAAAGAAACACATAGAGATGCTCCTAGATATAAGCATAGGCAAGTTACTAAAAAGTCTGAGCATGTAAAAGAACAGCAAACCTCACGAACAACAACACAATAAGAGTAATTCCCTAGAGCTCGATGTGCCTCGTCAATCACCAAGCAAACCAAATAACTAGTAAGACACGTTCCTGAAAGAGACGGTTTTTGTGATAAGTACTAATACATTAAGAGGTTTTCAGCTCAGAGTTTTGATAGAAATAACCCGAGCATCACCTGACTGTATATCTTTCTCTAGCACTTGCGGAGTGACAAAGAAAACCCGCTTGCTTTTCCACAAGAAGGCTCTTTTCGAAGGGCAAGTCTGACCCGTCAAGTCAATTGTCCATTCCTACAGTCAATTATAAAAAAATATATATAAGAATCTGATCAGTAAACAAATTTTCAATCTCTGAAGGCGATAAACACAACAGTTTGCTTATGGAGAGTTCGAAGAGAGATCACATACTTGTGGTATCCCTACGATATTATGACACGCCTCAATCTGCTGCATCACAAGAGGTCGAGAAGGTGCGGCAAAGACAATTTTACCTAGCAAACAATAAGAACAGCTTCTAAACTAGATTTCCACAAGCTATTTCATGGAGACAGAAGAATATCAGAGGCATTGTTTTACCTTCTGGAAACCATCTGAAGTAATTATACATTACAACTGCTGCTATAAGCGTTTTACCAAGTCCCGTTGGCAAAGCCACCAATGTGTTTGAAAACAAAGCAGTCTTCGTTATAGCAAACTGATAATTTCTAAGAGGAACATTCACTAAAACAAAAAAGTACAAAAACCAACCATAAGTTATGTCAATCTCTAGCGACCTTAAAAAAGGCACAATCAAAAACTCCTCAAACCTGGATATATCCAAGTTTTAGCTGTCTCAGGATCAATGCCAACGCAGAGGCTCTTGTCGTTATTACCACACTCGAATTCATCGAGATTCGGGTCGGAAACAGCATGGTTTGCCTGTGGGGCTGGTTTGTGCTCGGTCCTTCCGATGAAACTATCGAGAGTAGATTGTCTTTTAGCAGGAGGCTTAGTGCCATTGTCCTTCGTAATTGGTTGATGAGCAGAAGGAGCGAAATGGGTCGAAGAAGAAGATGCGTTTGATGCTCTGTTCAAGCAAGCCAAGTCGATTTCTCTTACTGCTGCTTCCCAATCGAACTTCAAGCGAAAACAAAATCGAAACAATAAAAAAAAAACAAAATGAAATCTCAAAAGACCCAGAAAGAGATTCAGATGTTAAAATTTTCAACTTACTCCGTCTTCTTCAACGATTTCTATCGGAACCTTGGAACCCATTTCGGAGAATCACTTGATTTCCATAGTTTAGATTCGACCTAGCTTTTTCAAATCCTCACTCTTTCACGACTTCGCTAGGAATGGAAAATAACGTTTCTCGGAATCAGATTTTAGGGTCACTGGTTTTGTCACTGTTCTTTGTGGAAAAAACCCTCCCCGAAGCGATAGAGAGAATGGCGGGCAAATTTTGGAAAAGAGAGATTGTTTGTCACCAAATGTACGTGGACGTGGGAGCTTGTCTTCAAGGTCGCAAGTTCAAAACCTCATATTACAATAAATTTATTTATTCTAGTATGTAATTCCGACGTTTTTGGTTTTTGGTTCTGGTTCGGTTGTTGGTGTGAACCAATCGGCCAAATTATTCCAACATAGACAATCTATACTATAAATGTTGCTAAAAAGTTGTTCAACTCTCTCCACGTGTCCCAGAGTCCACGTGTCCCAGAGTTTAAAATATTGACCGCCTAACCAATTTTATACCGCCTTAAAGCGATTTCTTAAAAACTCAAGTACAAAATCGGGCCCAACAGGAAGATATCGAGCTCAGTATTTCGATATGTGCCACAATTGGAATGAGAAATATTAATGAAGATGAAGACACTTATTTATAGTCCACCTTCCCCTTCTCAACTATCCAAGTTTGTCGATGTGGGACAAACTAAAAGACCTACTATTAAAAAATTGGCACTCAGTATTGGATATGGGCCACGACTTGGATGGGAAATATTAATGAAGATGAAGACTCTTATTTATAGTGGCTTCCCCTTCTCAATTATCCAAGTTTGTCGATGTGAGACAAACCAAAATACCTACTTTTCAAAAATTCTCATGGATATTAATAAGCATAAATTAAATTTGTCTTCAACACACCAATATGTCTTCTAAGTCTATAAATGTTTTAAATTTTATTTTCAAATAAAAATATAATTAAATTTTAATGCAAATGAAAAAGAATTATGAGTCTAATTAAGTTAAAATGTTTCAAATAATCATATATAAAACTTCAACTAATAATATTATAAAAGAAAAAAAATATTTAATAACAATTAAATAAAATAAAATTATTAAAAATAATAGTAAAAAGAAAATATCCACATAAAAATGTCAATTTAAAAAATATAAAATCATTAAACTATATATATCCAAAAAAATTTAAAATAGTAAATAAACAAAATTAACAAGGATTATAATAGTAAGATTTACAAGAATCAAAAGAATATGAAAATCGAAGAATAAATAAATATTTCTCTCTAATATTCAACGTATATTTTTAAGTGAACTGTATTATGTTTTCATACAAAAATTAAAATAGTAGATTTTTAGTCATTTATTATATTGGGAGAAAAATTAGATTATTTGACACAACTGGTGTAGAAGAAATTACAAATATTATATCATCAAAAAGAAATCGAAGAAAATATAAATATTTTAAACAAAAAATATTAATAGTAAACATAAAATTCAATAGTAATTATTAAAATATGAATTAAAATAAGATTCGCGCATATGCGCAGGTTCTCTCCTAGTATTAGTAAAAAGAGTGAAGAATCATAAGATTTTAAGGAAATTGCATCAAATATCCATCAAACAAATTATAATTAACAAACTAACCAAAAAATAAACTAAAACAAATATTCTTTATATATTATGTATTAATACTAAGTTTAACCGTAACCATTCATATACCCTTATTCTCTTTCATCTCTTCTGTTATATTTTTCTCTCTTTACACAAACATGGGCGGTGCAAGGTTTATTGTCAGGCAGCTCCTTCATCCCCTAAACCCAAAATCCCAATCAAGCCAAATTCCTTCTGTATATGTGGGATTCCACCTTCAAACTATTTTTTCTCTTATTTATTAAATTCATTGATCCTCCTCCAGCAAAAATCCATCATCTATCTCAACTTTCTCCACCTTTAATAATCCTCAACTCGTTCACGGCTTTGTTTTCACTTGATTCCTTCCATTGACAAAAACATTAACCCTCTTATAGAACTTTTGTTATGCAATTGGTGATTCTTAAATTGTTGAACCTTCAAATATGGATGTAGAGATTGAATTGAATTGAATTGTAGGCGGATCTGAGATTCAGACAAGTAGTATTAGCTTTTAAGGCAGCAACTGAAAAATATTTTGTATAGAAATTCTATTTTTATTCATAGAAAGTTTATTTTTGGCGTATAGAACATTGCCCGTGATTAGTTAAGTTATCATGTCATTGAATCAATGGAAGAAGCAGCTTATTTTTTTGTTCATCTTTTCTTTGACTGTGATATCGGCCGGATCTGTCGTCATCACGAATCTCTCCGATCTATTACAACACCCAATACTTCTTCCATTGATGAATCACTACTAATCAGTGGTTATCATGTTCCTTATATTTCTTCTGTCAACGAAGCTTTTTACAGAATCAAAAGGCTTCAGGCCACTAGAATAAACGATATAGTATGACTAGTTTTTAATATTGGTGTAATCTATTAAAAAAATTCTTTTCTTACTGTACTCATCTCATCTCCCCGTATATTATACTTATCAAATTCATACTATTTTAGAATTGTTTGTATTTTGATCAATGTAAATATTTATAATTTTCAATTCAAATCCTAATATATAATGTATTGAAAAAGTCTGTATATATATAAAACATATAGGTTGTCTATATTAATTTAGGCATGTTCTACCTGCAACATAATTTTCTCTCTTTTAGACCACTGAAGATGATGATATAGGAAAAAATTAATATAAAATACAAATAAGTAAATTAACTGATATTGTTAATAGTTTTTGATAAAATATTTTGACTCCCCAAAATCAGTTAAAACAATATTTTGACTCTCTAGTATTTTTTTATAAATAGACATGTTATATTATTGATTAAATATAGACTTTCTATGTTATTAGTGTCATTATTGACATATGAAAAAAATATATGGCTTTGTTTTTCGAAATTAAAGTCATGAGAATTGAAATAAAATCAGTATTTTTTTGGTACTAATATATGGTTGAAGCAGTCAATGGTATGTAAGTTATGCAAAAAAATAAAATCTTCGGGGTAAAAATGTTGGTTTCAGAATAAGTATTATAGATGGTCTATTTTTTTCTTTATTAAGGTTAAAATCGTTCAAAAAGCATCAACAATGTTACTTGCTTAATTATCAGATATGTATGGATATATTCTTCATTTATTATTGAAAATTGATTATTCACTTAATTGACCTTTTTAAAGATAACAAACCAGTTCAAATAATTTGAATTTTTGTCGAGTTTTAATGTATGTATGGCATAGTCAATAATTATGTACTTAATTTTTATTTTTATTTGGTGGAAAAGATGATTCACTAGGTGTTCATCGAAAAGAGGAGAAGAAAAATTCAAAAAAAGAAAAATATGTTAAGTCAAAAAAAATTATCAAGATAAATCACTGTAACAAAAAACATTTCTATCAATTTTAGTTTATTTGCAAATTTATTATTATTCAAATCACATAGTTTGAATTAACTTTTTTTTTAATTTACTACAGGTGCAAAAGTTCTACATCTACACAGTAAAAGGTACTTAACTCATTTTATAAATTTTTATGTGAACTATTTCCACTATATTTAACACATGCAAATTTTATATATTTATATATTAGAAATGGTTAAGTTGTTAGTCGTAGATACTTAAAATGACATAATTTATGGTTAGTTTATTTTTTTGGATGTTGTAATAGACGTGTAACATTATTTATCTTGTTGTTATTTATTTTTCTGTGTGTTGTTTTATGTGATAGTGAAAGAGAAAGGTAAAAGGAAAATTTTCAAAAATATATTAAAAAAAAGAGAGATTTCATAGACCACAGATTATGGAAGATGAGAAAAAACGAAGAAACCTACTACTACCTGATTGAGAACTATATCTAAGAAAAAGAGGAACAAGGAAAAAGACAGTGAAGAAGAGACTATAGTTGAGCCTGGAACTCCAGAAAAGCCGAGTTTTCAAAAGAGAAGAACAAAAGATATTGTTGAGCATTTAATCCAACAGTTGAATTATCAAAAAGAACATGGTCTTTCATCTATAGCAGATGTTCCATTGCACATTGAAGGTAATCACATTTTGTTTTTCAAATTTTTAAGGAAAAAAACATAGAAAAAATCTTGAAAATGGATCTTACTCCCCATTTGAGCTTCAAAATTTTCTCAATCCTACTATAGCAACATCACATAAACATAAAGAGATCATCTTTATCGCATTCATTCAAAATTTCACTATAAGAACATACAGTGGGCATTATACTCCTATACTAGTTGTATGACATAGGGACATAATCTCAAATTCATCGGAGAGAAGAGATACATCAATTAACGTTGATATTGATGTTTAAACTCCGCATATCATTTTATTACGTCACAAACATAATACTCCTAGAACTTGATGAAAATATATTAAAAGTGCTCAACTTCAAATGAAACAATTTAGTTCCATTTTGTTCATATGAAGCTATAGGCTTATTGTGGAAAACGAAAGTTGGAATATTTGTGACGTAAATCACATTTGGAGTTAACTTTTTTTTTATTGTTAAAAATTATGAAAAGATCTGATGTTTTCAGCAGCAAACAAAAATGGATATCATATTATGAGGGGTACTTAGTGAATTATGTAAGTATTAGTAAGTATGTTAAACACATGTATCTATGAAATGGTCCTTGCTTTGTGTCACTTCTCCGGCTACATTTATCTTCCATGAAGCTAAAGAAGAATAAGAACATAGTGAAAGTCCATTTAGTTGTTTCAATGTTACACGTGTAATGGTATGTGGTTCCTTTTCTTTGATGCGGCTAATTTGCTTTCATCTTTTTAGGGTTTTCATATTCTGTTGTACCATCTTCCTTAAATGCTGGTTTTATTTTCTAACTATACATATATATTTGGATAGTCATAATCGACCGAGCAATTTTTTTTCTTGGCTGGAGTGTATTCGTGTGTTTCCCAAAGCTTATATGTCTCCATTATTCAGAAACACCTTCTAAGTTTGCTTGGAATTGTAAAGATGGTTGATGTTTGGATGGAAAAGCTAATTGATTTTTCTAATAGAAGAATAAAAGCTAATTGATTTGTCGAATGGAAGAATAAAAACATGGAAGGATAAAAAGATGGGAAAAACAAAGATGATCATGAAGAAGAAGAGAGAGGGAGAGAATTAGAATAATAAAAACCGGTATAAGAAGACAAAGAAAAACTTTGGCATATGAAAGAGCACCTTCTAATTTAAAATTCTGTGGTAAACCCGTCTGGCCCAGGCGACTTATTATTTGGCATATGAAAGAGCACCTGCTTAATCTTGTCTTCAGTCACCTCCCTAGTCACCTGCTCGCATTGAAATGTATTGCACTTTATGTCCAGGAGATTTTCGAGGTCCTCTAATCCCCTGGAAATCCTCTGGCGTATCAGTAAGAAAATCACTAAAATGCTTCTCTGCCTCAGCTTTGGTATCGACTGGATCTTTTAGAACATTCCCATTCTTGTCGACAATTTCCTTAATCAGGTTTTGAGATTCCCGAACACATACAGCCCTAAAGAAGATCTTATTGCTTTAATCTCCAACAT